TAACCACACAGACTCCAGCAGTTCAAGGGGGCAGCTCAACCCATCTAGAGACAGCAACTAGAGGCAGGCAACAAATGCTTGGTCCAGTTAGTGACACCCACATCTCATGACTAAATCTTTTTTAAAAAAAAACTATGAATTAAAGCAATGTGCAAACGTAGCAAGGTGATGTGAGAAAAAGTCTTTTTCACCCAGCAAGTAGTTAGTGTCCAGAATGCTCTGGCTGGAAATGTGGTAGAGGCAGGTTCAATAGAGGCATTGAAGAGGGGCATCAGATGATTATGGAGATAGAAAAGGCATGCAGGGAAAAGACAGGAGATTGGCACTAGAGCCAGTGTAGGCACAGTAGGCTGAAGGGTCTCCTTCTGTACCGTAACAATTCGGTGATACTAAGAGAAACCCTGCATTTCTGGAGCAGCCTGTTACGACCTCAGAACATCCCAAAGCACTTCATGGCCAATCAAGTACTTTTTTTGACACACGGTCAATGTTGGCATCCATTTTTGACACACAGGAGGATCCCACAAGCAGCGATGTGACAACAATTGCACTGTACCTATCTTTTTGCATCCACATAGCAATCACACATAGGGATCAGAAGAAAAGAATACCTTGGGTTCCACATTGTCTTATCTTTGAATAATGCTCACTAGGACACTGGGAGGCACTGGGACCTCAGCAACTGTAATTTGCAGATTAGCTACAAGTCATGGAACTGGCACATCGTATCCAAGGCAGTACTGGTTGACACTAGTTTCAGAAACGCACCCTTACAGTACATGCACATCATATCATGACAACTGTCTAGATCACCTAATTTAGTGATGATTGGCCTGGGACCATCGGGAGGTATAGGTGGAGAGCTCTCCTACTGTTTCATTAAATAGTTTGAGGGAATCTTTTACATTTATCCCATGGGGTTAGATGGAGCCTCTGTTTGATGCCACCTCCAAAATATGGCACCTCTGACACTGTGGCATTCCCTGAGCACTGGCACTGAGAGTGTTGGCCTAAGTTGCAATGCAATGGAGAGACTAAAGGATGGGATGAGAAAAGGCAGATCTCTGAGTAGGAGCACTGGGTGAGCTAGACTCTTAAAAGTCCCCAGTGGCCCCTGAGGCCAAATCCAGTGAGCCCCCTTACCCCTACACACTGTTACACCTCACTGGGTAGCGCCCTGGAAATCAAAACTCAACACCTCCAGAATCTTTTGATTTGATTTGATTTATTATTGTCACATGTACCGAGATACAGTGAAAAGTATTGTTTTGCATGCTAAGCAGGCAGATCATACTTTACATAAGCACATCAGGGTAATAGAACAGAATGCAGAATATAGTGTTACAGCTACAGAGAAGGTGCAGAGAAAGATCAACTCTAATATATGAGAGGGCCATTCAGAATTCTGATAACAGCGGGGAAGAAGCTGTCTTGAATCTGTTGGTACATGTTTTCAAACTTTTGTATCTTATCTCAGATGGAAGAGGTTGGAAGAGATTATAACCAGGGTGGGAGGGCACTTGGATGATGTTGGCTGCCTTCCCAGGGCAGCGAGAAATGTAGACGGGGTCAATGGAAGGAAGGTGGTTTGTGTGATGGACCGGGCTGTGTTCACAACTCTCTGTAATTTTGTGCAGTCTTGAGCAGAGCAGATGCCATACCAAGCTGTGATATATCTAGATAGAGACAGAGATAGTAGGAAGATAGGTTTCTTTCTATGGTGCATCTATAAAACTTGCTAAGAGTCATTGTGGATATGAAAATTTCCTTAGCCTCCTGAGGAAATAGAGGCATCGGTGTGCTTTCTTGACTATTGCGTCAACATGGATGGACCAGGATAGATCATTGGTGATATCCACTCCTTGGAACTTGAAGCTCTTGACTACCTCCACATCAGCACCATTGATACAAACAGGGGCATGTCCTCCACTTTGCCTCCTGAAGTCAATACCAAGCTCCTTCGTTTTGTTGACATTGAAGGAGAGATTGTTGTCTTTACACCATACCACAATGCTGTCTTTCTCTTTCTCGTACTCTGTCTTGTCATTGTTTGAGATCTGACCCACTACGGTGGTGTCATCAGCAAATTTGTGAATGGGGTTGAAGCTGAATTTGGCCACACTGTCATGAGTGTATAAGGGGCTGAGTCTGCAGCCTTGTGGGCACCGGAGTTGAGGATTATTATGGAGGAGGCGTTGTCACCTATCCTTACTGATTGTGGTCTGCGGGTCAGGAAGTCGAGGATCTAGTTGCACGGTCCTAGGTCTCGGAGTCAGGGTTTGAGTTTTGTTGGAACTATGGTGTTGAAGATGGAGCTAAAGTCAATAAATAGGAGTTGGACATAGGTGTCCTTGTTAGCCTAATGTTCCACTGAATCATCACAAAAGATTTTAAAATAAGTACGCAAAATTCCCAAATTTGCCTGACATTTTATTCACAGGATGAGGGCATCATGGAGTAGGCCCAGCATTTATTGCAAATCCCTAATTGTCATCTGGGCAATTAAGAGTCACCAGATCAGATAAGGATGGTAGTTTCCTTCCTTGAAGGACATTAGTGACACTAGTTTTTTCCCTGACAATGGATTCATGGTTATCATTAGACTCTTATTTCCAGATTTTTACTGAATTCAAATACCACCATCTGCTGTGGCAGTATTTAAACCCAATTCCTCAGAGCATTACTTGGGTCTCTGGATTAACAGTCCAGTGCTAATACCACGAGGCCAACGCCTCCCCTCAGATGCAGTTTGATAGAAAACATGCACAAGGTTTCTGTATTGAACAAGAATCATCATATAGTCCAAGTAATTAGACTGTAATACAACATTTTTAAACTGGCAAAATTGGTTATAGACAAAGGAAAAACTGGGAAGGAAATCCAGTAGCTCCTATTCATGGGCTGCTGAGATTATCCTTATTGTTCTGATGCTGCCCAAGACATTGTTTTTCAGTCATCTTTCTCTGGATGCTTCTTCTGATTTCAGGAGGCACAGGGTGATGATTCACTTATGAAAGGTTGCTAAGTTAAAAATCACAGCTTACAGTTAAGGAAAGGTAAATTAGTTTTCTTCTGGTTTCATGTTAGTTTTGACTGCAGAGAACAGAGAGACGACCCCTGAGCTGGTTTTCTCTGTATCTTGTTCCTGGCACCAAACTGTTGAGTTACCTGAGAACCAATTGCATGGCTTTTGGCAGGCAAAAGGTTTTTGTCATCCATAACTGGTCACTATTGAATAGACCAATTAACTTCTTGTTACTACATGGCTGCAATTGTACATATCTCCTCAGATCCTGTTAATCTGCAAACCAACCTCCAATTGTTGCTCCTTCACAGGACAGGGGCATTGCAGGCAAGACCAATGTTTAGCACTCCACCCCTAACTGCGCTAGAAAAGGTGATGATAAGCTGCCTTCTTGAACCTCTGCATTCCATGTGGTACAGGGACTCCAAGAACCCTATTAGGGTGGGAATTCTGTAATTTTGACCCAATGACACTGAAGGAACAGTCCAATCAGGATGGTGCGTGGGCTTGGGTGCGAAGGTGAGCTGGATGAGAGATTTGTGAGAAATTGGGCATTAGCGATCATAACTGTAAGTCTTTGAGTTGCTATGGCAACATGCACATTTATAAGCATGTCGCAGTCGAGCGCTATAGACGGTTATGCTGGAGACTCCAATTGTTTTGCTATCAACACGACTGACCAGGACTCTGTCCCACACTCACTGATGTGTGTTTTGGAGTCGTTTACAAATTGACCCTCAACCTGTCTGACCATGTTACAAATCTCCCCCGACCTTCCTTGGCCGTCAAGTCCTGAGATGTGACTCAAGCCCAGCACTTTCAGATTCACAGGCAGGGAAACACCCTCAGGTCCATAAGCATCAGCAAAAAGTCCAATCAACAACTGAGTCGAAAGGCCTTTCGGTGAGAATGTGGGTCCCACTCCCACAGGGAGTGGTTGAGTGGAGTGCCATGGAAACCTATTGGGGGAAGTTAAGAAAAAACAAGAGGGAGAATAGAATTAAAAAATATAGGTCGAGATAAAGAGAGGGTGAAGAAATCTCATGTGGAGCATACATACCCAACTTGGACAGTCACCCATGCCAACCAGATCCTAAATTAATCTACTCCCATTTGCCTGCATTTGGCCCATTTCCTTCTCGACCTTTCCTATACATTTACCTGTCCAAATGACTCTTAAATGTTGTAATTGTACTCACCTCTATCACTTCCTCTGGCAGTTCGTTCCATACACACCCACCTTCTGTGTGGAAAAATTGCCCCTCAGGTCCCTTATGAATCTTTCCCCTCTCACCTTAAACCTGTGCCCTCTAGTTTTGGACTCCCCTACCCTGGGGAAAAGATCTTGGTTATTCACCTTATCAATGCCCCTCATGATTTTATAAACCTCTATAACGTCACCCCTCAGCCTCCGACGCTCCAGGGAAAGAAGTCCCAGCATCTCCTTGTAACTCAAACCCTTCAGTCTCGGTAACATCTTTTCTGCACCCTTTCTAGTTTCCCAACATCTTTCCTATAGCAGGGAGACCAGAATTGTACGCAGTATTCCAAAAGTGGCCTGACCAATGTCCTGTACAGCTGCAACATGACCTCCTAATTCCTATCGTCAATGCACTGTCCACTTGCAAGGAGCTGTGAACCTGCAAGGTCTCTTTGTTCAAAAGTACACCTCAGGACCATACCATTATATACTCAACAATTCCCAATTTTAGTCACTTCCCCATTTGCATTCCCCGGCTCTGGAATTCCCTCCCTAGACTACTCCACCTCTTGAACACACCTTCACCCACCCTCCCCTTCTTTAAGGAACTCTTTGATAAATGCCCCTCTTGACTGAGTTGGGTTCACCCAAAACGCCACCTCCATCTGAGGCCAGCTGTCAAATTCCACCCGCCTTGCCCACACTTGTGATGTGTTAAAGATGCTGTCCGAGGATTGGCCTGTCGCTGAGTTTGCTTCGCTTGTGTACTTACAGGCTGCAGAGGTCGATCCCATCACAGACAGAGACGCCTGGACTCCCAGATCATCGGAGGGAGTGCCACCAAGCCAGGCGATTGGCCGTGGCAGGTGAGCCTCCAGAAATACAGCACGCACATCTGTGGAGGCTCCATCCTCAACCAGTGGTGGGTGTTGACAGCAGCTCATTGTCTGAAAAGGTTCAGGTGAGCATGAGGCACAGCGAGAGCTTCAATCCAAAACTAGCAGACCAGTTCTCAAGGAGCTATCAGTACACTGACTGGTGTCTCTCAGTCCCCTCTCTCTCTCTCTCTCTCT